GTTGAAGCTGAGTTATTTTCAGGTAGTAATTCAAAAGAAGAAAAAGTTTTACATTTTTGATGACGGTGATCTTGGTGTCTATCTGATGTCGTTCGATAAAGAATGACACAGAAGTGTCTTACATGTAGAAGTCATCAATGTATTTGGAGAATCTCAGGTGGCTGAGCAAGTTTCACGTGTAGAGAGGGTAAGTCCAGATGATGTGAATATCATGGTGTGAGCACAGCTAATTATATAGTGAGTGATGGAGTAATTTCTGACTGTAATGCTGAATTTAATGATGGTGTCCTTGTTATTTACACAGGAAACAATTCAGCAGAACAACATCGTGAGCCAGTGATGGAGAATGACAATGGTGTGAAGTTATCTCGTGAGAATGAGGATAACGGTGGAGATGATGATAACATAAGTCAAAAATATCGAATGCTTGATATTGTTGAACCTCCAGCATGTGTTGAAGAACAATGTTTTGAACGTGAATGGGAGATGGTATGAAGCTAAGAGTAGGTGAAGAGTTTACCTGTAAGCAGGATCTGATAGATTTAGTTTACAGAGCTTCTCATAAGCATTGTTTTGGTATCATTGTACACAAGTCTGATAAGAGTCGATACTATGTGAAATGCGATCAAGCTGAAGCTAGATGTAACTGGTATATAAATGCCGCTAAGTCAGTTAATTCAAATATTTTCATGGTTAGACTATATAGGAAAATGCATTCTTGCTCTCAGGCTTCTGCCTGTACAAGCAACAAACGAAGGAAAGGCACACCAGGATAAGTTGCAGCAATTTTTAGTAAAAAATACCCAGGTTAATTAAAACCACCAAATCCTAAAAGTCTCATGCTTATGGTTCAAACAAAAGGTCGTGTGGATGTGTCCATACTCTACGGTATGGAGAGGCAGACAGAAAGCTATAAGTTATGTTCGTGGTACTCCATAAGAGAGTTATGAGCATCTGCATTGATATTTGTACATGCTAGAACAGATGAATCTGGGTACAAAATCAAGTGTGGAAGTCGATGAATTTGTAATATTCAAGTACTTATTTGTCGCTCTGGGTCTTACCATTGAAGGGTTTGTGGCAATGAGGAAAGTGATCATCGTTGATGCAACTTTTTTGAAGAATGGATTTGGTGGATGCCTTGTATTGCAACAGCTCAGGATCCAAATCATCACCATTATCCCCTTTCGTTTGGGGTAGTTGATGGGGAAAAGAATGATAGTTGGAAGTGGTTCTTCAGTAACCTTAAAACCGTGATACATGACAGTTCAGAATTGGTGTTTGTTTTGGACAGGAATCAAAGTCTGATCAAGGCAATAAGGGAGGTGTACTCATAAGCTAAACATGGTTTTTCCATATATCATTTGGCCCAGAATGTGAAAGCGAGCGTTCGGAGAGAGAAAGACTTAGTTGTAGGCAAGTTCATGGAATGTGCAAAGAAGTATACAGAGGCTGAGTTTCTTGATGCTTATGGGCAACTGGGAGAAAGGTATCTAGATGCAACTACGTATTTTTATGATAGTTTGCTTGAGGAAAAATGGGTTAGGTGCTTCCGGGAGAAAGGTACAACATCAACACTAGAAACTGTGTAGAGTCTATGAACAGTGTGTTTGATGATGCGAGGAAGTATGCTTTATTACCTATGATGGATGCCATTGTAGCAAAGATATCTGAGTGGTGTAACAAACATAGGAAGAAGTGTGAAACAGAACCTGAAGCACTTAAACTGGTTCCATTTGTCGAAAATGTATTACACGGAACTATTGAAGTTGCGACCACCCTAAATGTGACTGAGCTGAACTGGTTTCTGCTTGAATACACTGTGGTCGGAAAAAATGGGAAGACTTATCTGGTAAACTTGAGAAGCAAATCTTGCTCATGCATGCGTTTTGATATAGATAAGTATCCTTGCGTCCATGAAGCTGCCGTAGTGAGGATTTTTATGGCATGATTTGTACTCGAAGTATTATACTACTGAATTATGGACACTTGCATATTCCAGGACGGTATACCCTGTTCCTCATCGTTCACAATGGCTAATTCCAGATGATATCAAAAATATGGCTGCCCCAAAATCACCTGAGATGAGAAAAAGAAGGGAAGACGGCAACAGAGAAGATTTGCTTCGGTTTGAGAGTGTGGCCCAAGACCAAGTAATAAGCGTCAAAAAAGGCAGGGTAATACTCAGGGTGGAGGCTGGGCTCCCTATTTTAATGTCAGTAATCCTGACGAAAATGCACAGGGTAATACGCAGGAGAGAGTGAACATTATTAATTTATAATTGTATGAATAACTTGGTACAACTATGTTAAGATCTAGGTTGGTTGCTTGTTCTTTCGTGTTAAAATAAAGAATATGATATGTGTCCAATGTTGTTTTGTAACAATTCTGGGAAACGAGGGAGAATGTTCTATTTCATTTCATCGGAAAAATGAGCTTCCTTGAGAACACGTCTCAGTTACTTTTTACTTTTTCAGAATATACATGTGGGCCGACATAATAAGACAAAATAAGAGGACATACCTTGAAACCCTTTTTTCAGACATAGATTATTTAATATGTATATTATATTCCTTTTGGTTATCGGTATCGGTATTTCTTGGTTTGGTAAACCAATTTCAAATTACAAGACGCATGAAAATGTTGAATTATACAAAATCAAGTGCAAGCGATGACATTCTTGTAGATTATATGCATAGTTATGTTATGATTAACATTTAAACTAGACAAAATATGCAAACTCACAATATTTGAACTTCAAAGAAACATTTCTCATAAAGCGCAACATAGTTCTATGAAGACTTCATGAGGAGTAACCATATAAGGCATCGAACAATACGTATAAAGTGAAACAAGAAATCTGGTTACATGAAAATGTTGGGACAGTAAAATAATTGCTATTAGTGAAAAGTACAACTACACAATTATATATCTAATAGAGGTATTACTATTTTTTTGTTTAAAATCGCAAAAGTACAACTACTAGAGAGATTTTGTATAACTGACATATTGGTACAAAAACGTATCAAACCTCCTAAGAAGAATTGACATGGGTCCACGCGTTATTGGACATTAGCTTTTGACGGTGGCACATGAGACGGGTCCGTATTCTGCGTAATATTTAAATAATATTATATTTATTTCAGAAAATTTGGTTTTTAAATTTCTCCCCAATTCTCCCAATCTCAGAAAATTTCAAACTTCCTCCCAGTTTTCCTTTTTGAAAAGGTTATTTCCTTTCTATCTATTCATATTTCTATTCCCTCTTCCATTCTGTTCTTTCTTTTCTGAATCCTTATCAAAACGATTATGGACCCGAGCTACGAAAACGAGAAAAAAACAAGAAACTATACGACATGCTTTTCCACATAGCCGATGGTGACTATGGGATTCCGAAAGAATGTCCATGTGGTGGAAAAATCATCCAGGAGATCTCTGACGATCCGGGAAAGAGATACTACACCTGCAAAGTGTTTAAGGTATTAATTGTTCTAATTTTATGGGTTTATTTTTAGAATTACGAATTAGTTGTTCAAAATTTCTGGATTCAAGGGTTGGGATTTTAATTTTCCTGGGTTCACTTTTAAGATTGCGAATTAGATGTCTAAATTCCTGAGTTCACTTATAAGATTGTGAATTAGATGTATAAATTTCTGGGGTCATGGGTTAGGGTTTAGAATTAGATGTCGAAATGTCTGGGTTCAGGGGTTAGGAATACGAATAACTTGTTTTGATTTGCTGAATTTATATGTAGAATGATGGCTACCATTTTCGGAAAAAATGAGATCATGTTGTCGATGAAGAGATTACTATGTAAAGAAATGAGATTCATGAGCATTGCGCGAGGTACTAATTAAACCGACTTTTACCAAGTATTACCAATTTATTGTAGTTTGACAAATTTCTAAATTTCCACGAACTTGGGCTGAATTATACTAAATTGTACTATTTATTGACAAATTTGCACGTAGTTGAGCCGACTTATACCAATTTGTACCAATTATTGTAGTTTGACAAATTTTCACATATTTGGGCTGAATTATACCTTATTGTACCATTTATTATAGTTTGACAAATTTGCACGTAGTTAGGCCGAATTATACATTTTTATATCAATTATACGAATTTCTACATTTAAGGGTTTCTTCACTTTTTAGGGATTTAAATACGTAATAAATTATTTAACACAGCATTTGTGAGAAATATTTATTTCACAAATAAGTAAATATAACCAAAAAAAGGTTCGAGATACTAAAAATAAAAAGATAAAAAGATGATTACAGTGATGGTGCAGGAAGTGGTAGATGAAGAGGATGAGCAACTTATGAGTCTGAGAGAAAGTTTCTGAGAGAATATTTTCTTCTCCTCAGTCTTCTCTCAGACTCCTAGCTTGCTCGTCTTCGTCAACCACTTCCTGCACCAACTTACGTAATGTTTGTATAGCGAGTAGGGTTCATGTAGAAAGGAGAAGGAAAGAGTGGTTTGATTACTAAGATGGTGCAGGAAGTGGTAGACGAAAAAGAAGAGCAACTTAGGAGTCTGAGAAAAGAGTTTCTGAGAGAAGAGTTTCTTCTCTTCACTCATATCTCAGGCTCCTAACTCGCGCGTCCTATCGTCCACCACTTCCTGCACCATCTTCTGTTTCTTTGAATAGAGAGTTATTGAAAATTAGGGTTTCTGTTGAAGAAAGAGTGGTTTGATGAAATAAGGAGTTTAGGGTATTTATGGATAAGTGAGGTGGTGCTGGATGACGTGTTTACACGTAACCGTTATAAATGGGGTAGTTAAATGCGTCCACTCATGATTAAAATGAATCGATTCTCGATGTAAGACTGGTACAACTACCAAGTCTGGTAAACCATATCATTTATTGAACACGACGTTTGCGATAATTTTTTTTTTAAAAACAAAACAAGTGAAAATTACCAACAGGAGAAAAGGTTCCAAAAGGGTTCAAAAAGATAAAATAAGAAAACAAACAAAAGTTTTTTGATGCATGATTACGCCATGGCGTGCAATTGGATCCACCTCCGAGCGTGTTCATCGAAGCAGACCCTTTCACAGTGAAACATATCTGCGGCATCCTCCCTCACCATGTCCTTCTCCTTGATCCACAAATGAATCAGCATGTCGTGAATCGTCATCAACATCTGGCCCACCGTCGCGTTGGGTGCCACATGTCATACACCAGCATTGGGTGGAAGATTTTGCCCTCAGGACTGACGTTTGGGTGGAATATTGGTGTGTTGAAGTGCATCCGCGGTGCCTTAAGCAGAAATCCTGGATCGAAGTGGATGCCGAGAGAGAAGACACCCCCTTCATAGGGTGTATTCTTCGTACCAGTGATTGTGGCCGTCCACTCATACATGTCGTCGTCCTTCACACAGGTGGAGTAGAAGGGAGAGGAGTGGTCTTCAAAGTCCTTGATGGACCTTCGGATATGGAAGAGTGCCATGAGTTCTCGTGGGGTCGCCATTTTGTGAGAGTTAATGAATTTTAGGGTTTATGACGAAAAGAGAAGGAATAAGTGCTTTAATGAGATGAGAAGGATAGTGAAGTATTTAAGGATAAGGACAGTTAATGAAAATTAGAGTTTCTGAAGAAAAGAGAATCAAATGAGTGTTACTATAAATGAAATGAAATGAGAAGTGGTGTCAAAGGGAGGTGGTGCTTGATGACGTCTTCACGCGTAACCGTTATAAATGAGGTAAGTAAATGGGGTAAATAAATGCGTCCATTGTCGATGTAAGATTTGTATAACTACCAAGTCTACAAATCAACTCTACATAATATTATAGAATTATACAAAGTTTTATCAAAAATATTTTAACTAAGGTCTCTCTTTTAGGGCTTTTTCTGATTTCAGAGACTACTTAATTTTCCATTTTAAGGTTTATTATCTGATCTTAGATACTATCGTGTATTTTTCCAAATTTTAGGGTTCCATCTAGGTTGTTCCTATTTTATCGTTTTTTTGTGAACAAAATTTTGTGAAAAAATTTCATTAATCACAAAAAAAAATAATTAGATAATAAACAGAAAGAAAATGTACACATAAAAAGAAAAACAAAAGAAAATGAAAATAACATAATTAAAAAGATGTTCATAGCTCGTGGATCTGGGTGAAGCTACGAGTGAGTTCCTCATAGCGGACCCTGTCTTCGCGGTACATCACCGCCACCTCTTCCCTCACGACGTCGCCCTCCTCCACCAGCGGATGCAAGAGCATGGTGGCCAGAGTCATCATCATCTGGGCCACTAAAGTCACGATGCCCCACGTGTCCAGCATGAGCATGGGGTGGAAGATGTTGCCGCAATGACTCACGTTGGGGTGGAAGATGGGAGTCCTGAAGTGCACCTTTGGTGGCTTCAGAAGAAACTCGTGCGGAAAGTGGATGCGCAAGGTGAAGATACCCCCTTCGTAGGGAGTTTCCGATGGACCGGTTATGGTCACTGTCCAGACAGACATATCCTCCGCCTTCACCCCAACGGAGTAGATCTCCGACGGGTTTTGCTGCAGTTTGGGTAGGTAGCGACGGATCCAGTAGAGAGCCCTTGGTTCATTTGGTTGGTTAGCCGCCATTTGGGAGAGAAAAGGAAATGGGAAAGATAAAAGTTTTTTGGGAGTTTAGGATTTCTTTCTCTGAGATGGTGTGGTGAAATGAGAAGGCGAGGGAGTTCTATTCAAGAAGAAGAAGTGATGCGGTGCATGCATTAATTGCGTCGACTCGCGATACAAATTATGCGTATCTCGATGTACGACTGGTTCAACTCCATGTCGGAATACAAATTGATTAAAATGAGTACACGTAAGTTATGATGGCATTCCCACATGCGTCGTTTTATAAATGCTTATTAATTTAAATGATTCGACAGTTACCCGACAACCAAAAGAGCTACATTAATTTAAACCGATTACAAACAACTGATATCCTCAACTCTAATTTAGTTTAAAATGATTATAATCATGACCAAACCAATATCCTTAAAATAAATTTAAATCTACAAACGATCTAACAGTCATATTTGTTCAAAATTTTTTTTTTTTTTTGAATTGACAGTAAGATAGAGGGAACATTTATGTTAAATCTTCCTCTTCTTCATCTTCTCATGATGCACCTCCCCTTACTCTAATGAAGCGCCAAGTTGTTCCTACATGGTAACACAGATATGTGATGTTTAATCGTGACACACCATAGTTTTACCTATGAGTACCAAATAATACAATTACATTTGAAATGAAGATAAAATACCTATATCCCATTACGTCTTCTGGTGAAATACGTCCTAACAACCGCTGGCTTCGTCTTTTTCTTCGTATCCTTCTCGTTCTCCTTCTATGCCACCTCACCTCCCACTTCTTCATTCTATTCTCCTTCTTCTCCTTCTTCATCTTCACGTTGTTCTTCTCCTTCTTTCTCTTCTCCTAGACCTTCTCTTGGAATTACCTCTTTCACATCATATTCAACGGACTTCAATCTATATCAATGCCATCGATGAGGTCTCTCATTTGGAGGAACTGCTCATCCATATTCTTCTTCAACCCTTGAATCTGGTTCACAATCCCAATCGGCGCTGGAGATTTAGAGGAGGCATTCTTCGCTGGTTCATCGTTCAAGCTCATATCCTTCAAGAATATCTTCTTCCCATCCTCAACTATACGCCTCGTCCAATTATCAGGAATTATATCACCGGTATCTGGGTCTTCATACCCTTCCATGATACTAACTAACATATCTTCCTCATCAAGAGATGGTTGCAATATACTCTGGATATCTTTGGTATTACCGAGTGTTACGTAGAAGTCCGAGAAAGGAAACCTTTGAGAGTGAATGGTCTGAACTTCGTCTTACACATCCAAGGACACCCTATTTCTGCTCCTTTAGCTTCTTCATTATATGTGTCCTTCAAACAAGGTATTGCTTCAAAAGGTAGCAACTCCAAGGGAGTAACAAAGCCAGGAAATGTCCAAGAATCAGTTTCGACGACCTAATTGAAGTGCCTCAATGTATGATCGACTTCTTTGAGATTCGCATCAAATGAATTCACAACACACATTCTCAAGCGATCAGGACCACCCTGCCTCTTTTCAATCTTCTCTTTAACAACAGCAAGTGAAGGGATAATTCCTTTCTTAAAATACTTATCCTTAAAATCACTACTGCCCACCATCTCATAATTCTCTGGCTATTCATGGCAGTCTAATCCAGATATGAGTCCATGTTCCTTAAGCGAATACCGAATTGGAACGCCATGAACAACAAACCAATACTCTCTCCTCTTCTCTGTCTTTGCTGTGCGTAGAAGGAGTATCCACATCCCCTGAGTCTTATGGGTTGTATCCATATACATCGCCTTGTGCATATGCCAGAAGTGCTTGAATTGAGGATGCTCGCTAAACCACCTTAGCTCATCGGGTCTCAGTTCCAAAGACGCCGACTCTAGATTATCCACTGCTTTGTGGATCCAACACTGAGTTCCTAACTTTATTGCCTTGTTGTACTGATTTGGACTAAAATACATACTCAGCAGTTGCATTGGCTGGTGTTCCTCATCATTACGCGTTTGCTCCTCATCTTCATTACGAAAGCGTAATGGCTCCCACCAGTGGCGGATCTAGAAAAAAATTTAGTTGGGGGCATAAGTTTATAAATAAGAAAGAAAAAAAATTAGTTGGAGGCAAAAAATTATTTTTATTATTAAATTAAATTTATTTTGATTAAATTTATCCTAAAATTAAAAGAAAAATAAAAAAGAGTAGGGGGCACTTGACCCCACTCCTCTTTAACTACCTCCGCCCCTGGCTTCCACAAGATTAATTGAAGCGAGTTACTATCTCCTCCAAATGATGCCATTACAGTATTTCTACGAAGTTAAGACACAACTAATTATCACCCGACACATCAATCAAAGTCAATCGAACTCAAATTTTGCAGGACATAATACTAATGTCAGTTCCTCGTTCCTAAACCCAGGTATCAGATACTACAGAATAATTCCTAAACCTAGAAATAAGATAACAACAGTAAAGGAGCTAATACGAAGAAGAACGAAGAACGAACCTGATGCGAATTTGAAGATTGTGACCAGTATAGAAAACCGAACACTCCTTGTTTGTAGTTCGTAGTTGACAAGATATCATCTTACAATAGCTTCATGGCGGAGAACTGTAAGAGCATCTATTTCGTCGGCCATGAGATAACTGCAGTTGAAGAGCTTCTTATATTAGAATCTGAATGGTTAGGAAGTTTTGATCAATAATTAACATTGATGATTCATTGAATAGTTAAAATGATATCGTTTCTAGAGACGTTTTGAGAAGTTCTTTGCAAAACGATGTAGACAAGCTTAAAGTGTTTTGATTGATGTAATTTTTTTTTTTTTTGAATCATTAGCCACAATATCTAATCATAAGTTTTTTAAAAAGAGAATTATAATGAGTCCAGAAAACTTAGATGTGAAGATGGATAATGATTATATGTATGTGTTTATTTCGTCGGCCATGAAAACAATAGCTTCACAATTATCAATTATTTTTTTTATCATCAAATATGTATGTGTTGCTATCAATATTTACAGGTGTTTCTATGTTATTTCAAGTATTTATACATTTGTTTGTTGATTAGGTGACAATAAAAACCATTTTTAGGTGCCCATAGTAGACATGTTCATTTAAGAAATTGCAGAAAACAGACAAGAACAGATTAGTCACATATTGAAAAACATTATACAAAGTATTTTCAACATAAAAAGCACATGAGACATATCTGAGGAACGCAGATTTAAGAAATTCGGGTAGTTAAATGACTTCCCAAACATTCCATAAGTGTCAACTTTGGAGAGCAACTATTCTACGTAGAAGCAACTACGGGAGAAACTATTGTTCACTTTTGTTAATACTAGTGGATTGTCTGCGCTACACGCGGTATTTTTCTAATGTTATTTGTTAAAAAAATATATATTTTGTAATTGTAGAACGTTTGTATTTTTTTTTCTAAATTGACTATAATTGTATAAGGTAGGATTGTTATTATCCATTGTACAATCCATTTATGATGGAAAATATGGCTGCATGGTAAGTAGTTGACATATTTTTTCTATTAAACATTTACAAACAGATTGAACGGTTTTTGTTTTTTTCTTCTTGTGTTGGCATCCTTGATATTCTCAAGATTAGCGATGTGTAAGTCCACGTCAATCCTATTTGTAGTATGCGAGTTAAAATGTGTAACTGTGAAGTAGATATTCATGTAACTGCAAATCCAATAATTATTTCTTATCCATACTTAAGTAATTGAGCATCCCGTTTCATGATCATTCCCAGATTGAAAAACGAAAATCATAGAAAAGATATGTAACTTAGCCTATTATAGTATGTTTTGTGAACTACATTTAGATTTAGTGGAGCCTATCGAACATAGAAACATGACAATTAGTGCTAAAATATAGTTGACCTAATGTAACATGAACCTTACCCCATATAAGGGGTTTTTTCTCTCTTTTTGTGGTGGTTCTTCGAGCTCTTTAGCAAACGTTCGTACATCTTCAAGTTTTTTTTTTCTGCATCTTTGTATATGTCGGAAATTGAAGCCTTGTTTACCATTCTTCACCTTCCACCAAAAGCAAACATGGAACATCAAATTTGTCCTTATGAGAAAATATTTTAATGTAGAATCGTGGACACTATCAAGTAGAAAACTTTTCAGTTTTGATTGTTTGCTTTCAAAATTTATATAGAATAATATATTTACTTGCATATTACATTACCCTGAGATCCATGATTTAGTATAACCATCTTCAAAATGTATAATCTATTGGCGATTTGATTTACGCACCACGACACCACAACCCATCAGTCTTACTCGGTTTTTTTTTTAAATGAAAAAATCGATTATTCTTTTTGTTGTAGGGAATCAATTTTCTTCATAAAAGGACTATATGCACACAAAAAAAAGAGAGGAGAAGACTACGTACAATCGTACATGAATGAAAAGGCAAGAAGAAACGACTTCTTCTTCATTGACCCTCTTCTTCGTATTCGAAGCTAGAGATGTGTAAGATCTAAATCTATGCGAGAAATATAGGAGAAGGGTTATTAGGAGAGGAAGTAACGTTTAAATATATTAGTATTTTAGTATTGTATTTAAAATATTATGGTATTAATCTAATAAGTTTTATGTAAATTGTGAAGTTTTAACGATTTTGTTTTGAATCTATATACAGTATGTTATATTTCAAAAACGTATTATTTGGTCAAACACTTATAAGTTAATATATCCAAACCAACTAAAATTTTTAAAAATACTATTTTTAAACATAGTATTGACATGATAAAATATTATACATTTACTTCTTTAAATCATGTGGATAAAACATTATTTTCACTTTTATTCTAATTATATATATGTTCTTTAAAAATAGTAAAAAACAAGAAAATTTAAAATTCAATTTTTTCTTTTCTTGTTTAACCAATACACATTTTTATTTTGATATATTAGCCAATTCTAATAAATAAAATGTTTGCTTTGAGACTAATAACAATTTTAAATTTGAAATCAAAACAATAGTTAAATATGAAAGGAA